AACGGAAAGACGGGGAAGCAGCTGCTGGTCCACCCCGTGTTGGGTGAGCAGGCGCACCCCATCCATGGAGACATCCCGGGCCGTCAGCCACGTGCCGAAGCCCAAGCAGGTCCCTTCCGAGGAGGGGATTGGCCCTGGAGGACTGGGGGGCTGCGCTTTGCCGCTGCGGGAGTTGGATAGGATGCGATAGGTGGTATAGAAAAAAATTGGCAGGCTCATCCCAAAGGCCACCGAAGCCGCGATCGGCCGCCAATCGGGTGAAGAGCTGTCAGGAAATATAGAAAGCATGATAGTGGTACTAATCAGAATCAATATTAAGCTTTGGGGACGGGGGGGAAGGGAAACTGAAGTGGTGACACACCACACAATAGCATGAAATATCTAGAATTAATGCCACATCGCACCTAGCGTAACACGAAGTTTCCATTAATAAGGAAGATCTAACAAGTCATTTTTTTTCGCTATCCAACTGAAATATACAGCAGTATTTTTCCCCAGCATGCATAGCATCGATGAATCTCAGTTTCCTAAATTTTACAATAAGTTCATTATTCTGATAGGAAGGATAAACACCCGTAGAAGACTTGTGAATTTGACCGTTCAAGAGTCCATCAAAATAAAACGGTGAAAAAAAGAGAGAAGAGACATAATCCCATCATAATATCTTCCCTTTAAAACCCCAAAACAGTACAGAACATAGCGACAACCAAAATGCTGATATGCTGTTCAAGATGTAAAAGTACCTTGTAAGGCTAGAATTTCTTCGATAAGGCCCTTCTCTTCCGCCTCCAAGGTCTTCACCTCCAGTTGAGCCTCTTGCAGGCGTGATTCGAGTGATCCCAAATCCGGTTCCATAGCCCGCTCGTCCTCCAGCGTCTCCTGCTCCTCACGCAATTGGCCCTCAAGGGCGTTGTTTTCCTTCACCAACGCAAATAACTGCCTTAGTGATTGAGTATAGCTCTGCTGGTTAACCCACCTTAGCTTCTTGACTGAATCAGCCCGCCGCTCCTCAAGAGAGGCGGAAATATCCGCCATAAGACGATCCTCCGCTTCGCTCGCGGCCTCCAGCTCCGCATCCACGGACTTCCGGATGTCTTCCTTTAAAACAATGCGCGGAAGAGATCCGGATGAATCGGAAACGGGAATACCTAAATTTTCCTTCAGGGGACCCTCAGCAATGTCTTTGAGAAGTTGTTGAAGCACCAAATGTTGAACCTTATTTCCTAAAGCGATCTGTCTATTAAAATGGCGCTTGGTGGAAGATAAAATTTTTTCCAAGTCCGCCTGAAACTGAAAAAAGAACTTTTCGTTATCATTTCCGGTGAAGTAATCCGAAACTTCTTGATTTGGAAAGGCACCTAGATCCTGCGAGGGTAGATCCAAAACGGCCTCCACCATGTGATTTTCAAAGCCCCCGTTGTGAAGTACAAGCTGCGTGAGAAGCAAGGCCCTTGACGCGCGAACCTCAAGGTCCGCATTTAATGCTGTAAAAACCCTCAAACACGAATTTTGAACCCGCACGACCCTCTCGAGCGTCTTTACGTAGATCTCTGCCAGGGTATCTGATAAAGTACAAAGCGTATCTTCATTTTTATCAGAATCATGTTCTTTCAACATCGTCTCCACTTGCTGGATTCTCGAGATGATAGTAGTGATAAATTTCTGCATTTTTTCCGTTGCCGTTTGCTCCCCTAACGAACAATCGGTGGGTTTATCTTCCAAAGAAGCAGGCGGCGTGAAGTTTTCTTCAGTATCACTGGACGACAGAAGCTTACGTAGAAAAAGTACCTCACGCCCGATCTCGTCGTTTTCTTGCCGGAGTTCTTCTTGGCTCTGCTCCGCTCTGAAGCGTCTGGCAATATCGCCGTACTCGAAAGCTTTTTGTTTGATGGATACATTCCTAAGAAGCAATGCCACAACAACTTCTAGGCGCTTGATTTCCTCAGATAAATCGTTATTCGCCAAATACGCCAAAGCATACTCGGAGGAAAATAAAGAAGATCGAACAGGCAATTTTGTAACTAACTTAGCTAAGCGCAGAGCACCTTCCTTTTTCAACTGTCTAACAACACCTATTTTGTCCTGAATCGAGGCCTCTCGAGTGTTCACACTCAAGCAAAGGTTCATGTACTGTTGAAGTTCGCTTTGAATATAATTGATAAAGCTGTAGATCAGATCGCCCTCCGCGTTTTTCACACCAGTCTCTCGAGTACGATTAGCATCCTCAACGAGAACCTCTACCAAGTGCTGAAGCCTCGTCGCGTCGAAAGGCAAAGGCGCGGCCTCTGCAGGACCCTCTTCAAGGTCTTCCAAAACGCCCTCGTCAAGAGACCGTAAAGGATCCTTCGCTTGATCGTGGGGGGAATGCAAAAGCCTATCCAACGGGATCGTGGCGTCGAACTCTGCAGAAGCCGAATTTTGCGTCGTCGTCATCTCCCCTTCCTGAACGCGTCGCTGTAGGACCTCGAGAATAGGTTGCGGGCCGTCAAACCCAAAACCAGTTGCCTCTGAAAAGTGCGGTGGTGGATCACGACGAGTGAGTATTTCAGAAAGGTCGCTCAGTTGGTTTCGTAGATTGATATTCCGCTCAACCAAGGTGTGGAGCTCCGCAAGGTGCCCCTCCTCCACCTCTCGACGGCGATTTCCAAGGCTGGATTCGGATAAAATAAGCGCATTATATTTGCTCTCGCGCTGCACAACATCATAGTTTCCAAATGGTGTGTCCGGCACCGCCTCTTCCTCTTCTTCGGCAAATGGGTTTTCTAAAAAACTCATCTAAAGTAATCCTTAGCCTTGTTTAGAATAAGATTCAGTATATAATTTAAACAAATATTGCGGCATTTAAAAAAATGAAGGACACAATAAGGAATTTTTATCTCATCCGGCGCAGCGTAAAAATGTCTTAATATCTCACTATAATCTGTTTCCCCCTTTATTTCTCGGTGTAATATGCAACTCCAAGTAAGATTTTTTCCACTAAAATAAATGGAGTCGAAAGTATTATACTTCAGGGGAAAATGTTTACTTCCTCTCTCTAAAGTGAAATCAAGCAAACTTTGCCCTTTTGAATTCGCCCTCTTCTCGTTTCGCTAGATAACCTATAAGAGCTAAATGTAACCCAGTAAAACCCTCTTGAAACTTCTGATTTTCTAAATTTGATATATGTATGAAAATGATTAGAAATACACACGTAACCTTAAACTCAAAAACATGCTTTGAAATACCAGGTAAGGCTCCAGAGCCTAAATTAACTACTACTGCGAAAGAATAATAGCAAATATTTTTAATAACTTCTTCCTTCATATTTGAAATTATAAAAATTTACCATATACATAAATTATAATAGTACGGTTTGGTTCCTTAAAACAAGATCCCTAATCCTAAATGGAGATCGACATCGTTGGCTAACATTCTTTAACCTTTAAGAAAACGACATTTTTGCTCGCCGGGATCGTGAGGCTGTCAGGGAAGGGAAAAAAAAGAACCGATAAATTGTCAGAATTAAACTCCAAAAGCAAAAGCTACTAAAAGAAATATTGATATATGTATAATGTCCTTTACATCCCCTTTGCCCCTCCCCTTGGTATATTTTCTGTAAGGCGACTCGTCTTTCACAATGTTTAATAATAAAACCGATACACGCACATTCCTATTTTTTTTTCCAAAGCAGAAGATAAGTTGTTATGCATCACCGTTATGAAGTATCAGTGGCTTTTTGCTTACTCTCCCAGAGGGAGAGTTTGGTGATGGAGTTTGCATTGCGATCAAATTTAGGTCCAAGAAGCTCACACAGCTTTTGTTGAATCACCACATTGCTCGACCCACTCATTGTCTGCTTGCTAAACAGATCCATCGCCTTTTCGAGCAGTTGACTGCCGATCTCATTCACTAAAATCTCGCGCACTTCGTTGGCAGGAACGATAGAGCCGTTAGCGAGCGCAATCATCTCGATCTGCGGTGTATCCCCTGGGGTGCTGTCGCCGAATTCCTCCGGATGCCCGCCGAGGGCTCCCTTCCCGACGATATCCTTTGTTTGCCGGATGATCTCCTCCTTCTGGACGATGGCGTCGCTGTCCTCGTCGACGTCGACATGGGCCTGGGCGACCTCGGCATTCGCCGCGGCCGTTTCTGTGCTAGCGCTGGCGCTGGCAGTCTGCTTCGCGATCATCTCCCGCATGCTCTGGCGATTCATTCCGCGCAGCATCGCCATCTGCTCGCGCTCGCTAAGCTGGAACTGCGGCTTAGCAGCCTCTCCCCCCTCTTCTCGGACGGGGTCAGGGGCCGGGGTCGGCTTGGGCGGGGGAT